AACAAAAGCCATTTATAGATTTAATGCAATGCAAATCAAAATCTCCATGACATTTTTCACAGAATTGGAAACAACCATCCTAAGATTCATATGGAAGTACAAAAGACCTCAGATAGCCAAAGAAACCTTGAGCACCAAGAGTAATGCCAGGGGGATTACAATACGAGACTTTAAGCTGTATTACAGAGCTATAGTTATAAAAATAACAAGGTACTGGCACAAAAATAGACCCATAGACCAATGGAACAAAATTGAAGACTTAAATATGAGTAAATACAATTTCAGCCACCTGATATTTGACAAAGGGACCAAGAATATTAACTGGAAGAAAGACAACACTTTCAGCAAATGGTGCTGGCAAAACTGGATCTCCATTTGCAAAAGAATGAAATTAAACCCCTATCTTTCACTGTGCACAAAAATCAATTCCAAATGGCTTAAAGACCTCAATGTAAAGCCTGAAACTCTGAAACTCTTAGAAGAAAACGTTGGGAAAAACCTACAAGATATAGATGTAGAGGTGTAGGAAAGGATTTTCTAAACCAGACATCAATTGCTCAGGAAACAAGGACAAGAATTAACAAATGGGACCTCGTTAAACTAAAAAGCTTCTGTACATCAAATGAGACAACCAAGGAAGCAAACAGAAAATCCACAGAATGGGAGAAAATCTTCACCAGCGACACATCCAACAGAGATTTAATAACCTGAATTTATAACGTGTGGGGGTCCTTCCCTGCACGCAGCATGATGGGGGCCGAGGAGTGGGAGTGCCCTGCCGTACCAACCCTCTGTTCCCAAAGAACCACCAAGGAGGCAGGGAGTCTTGTCCAGCAGGAGCTCATTTATTAAGCTTTAGGCAAGTGCTTATATACATTTGTGAGCATTGAGTGTCCCTCCTTTACTCCACCCCGCGGTCTGATTGGTCATGACCTGTGGGAGACAAACTTGAGCCTAGGGTGATATTGCAACTGTCAGGGTCCAGGAATCCTGGCTCTGTAATCTGAAACCCAATATGTTAATGAGGCATTGTACCCTCTATTCTGTGATAGCACATTAAGTCTGTTATGCTAATAGGATGATGTTAATAAGGTATCCTACTTGCTGTACTGTGGTAGGATGCTAAATCTGTTATGCTAATGAGGTATCCTACTTGCTGTGCTGTGATTGGACCACTACCCCGTATAAGCTTGTGCCTTCCTGCAATAAAGCAGACAACTTTGTCACTGAACCTGGTCTCCTGTGTCTGAATGCGGCTCCGCTGACACAGTCTGTTCACCAGCCCTGGGGTCCAGGACCGGGCAGAAGCAGTGACAACAGGAGGCAGCACAGGGCAAGCAAAAGAGCTGCCTCAGCACCAGGCGAGCAGAAGAGTGGCCTCAGCCCAGGGCAGGCAGAAGAGTGGCCTCAGCCCAGGGCAAGTGGAGGAGCAGTCTTGA